ATAGAATAATTGAACTTTACAGGAAATTAGATATTATGGTATTATCTGTTATTATAAGAGTTAATAAATCTTAGAGTTTAGTTAAGAATAGAACTCAGATATATAACCTGGTAACACTTCGCGATTAGTTATTTTAGTTAATGAAAGAATGTTGGAAATACAGTCTAGACGTATACAAGGTTATATGATACAGTTCATATAACATCGTTTATATATATATACCTTATATATTTATATATATATCCAATCCTATTAGAATACCTCTAAGGATACATATATACAATATTACTATTATTATACCTATTATGATCTTAGTGATATTCCAACAAAAATAATCTAAAATAAAAAGATATTTCTATAACTTTTTATATAAAATCATTAAAATTCTGAAAATCTGCAACTAAGCTGATAACTATATAAAGAATCTATATTCAAAACTTAATTTAATTATATCCATTAATTAAAAAGTTATAAATCTCGAAAATCACTGTTTTTGGTGTGAAAGGTGGCCCAAAAGGGGGGGTGGCCGACAAGTAGAGTAGTGGACTTATATATAAAGTATATAATAACGATACTATATTATTATTATACTTTATTATAATCTAGCTCTGTTTTATATAAATCCCCTAACCCTATATAAAAGCCTTTTGGGATTCCTTTTCTTCTTTCTTTATAGCAAACTAATTTCATTGCTTTGTCTTTACTTGCTTCGCACCGTGACAGCCGGCTGATCTATCTCCTCTGTTAAGAAAAGGTTCGCAACGTAAATCTTAAAGAGACAGCAGGTTTGAAAAAGGATAGCAAGTAACGTAAAGGAACGGCAATTATACAATGTCGATGACTCGGAGGTAAAACGATGGCAATTATAAATTGTCACAACAAGCCACAGTACAGTTTTCCATTGCCAGCGCATATCCCGCTAAGCAGGTTTAGATTCTCAGATTTTGTTAGAAGAATCCTCCTGGCTCGACGGATCCATGGTCTCGATTTTTCATGGTGAAGGTATTGTTGTACTCGAGTAATGATGGGGAGAAATTGAAATGAAGACAAGCAGTATAGGTTTATATACTAATAAACTCTGAACAATCTCTCCTTCGAATTTCCTTTTTTATCTTCTAGACTCCTCTGATCCCTCTCTAGCCCCTCTTTAATTCCTCTCTTGATTCTCCGCTTTGCCTTTGTCCTCCTCTCCTCTCCTCTCCCATCTTTCTCCCTACACTTACTATTCAAGCAATCACCCATTCTCCGCTTCCCACTCCCAACCCCAATCCAAAACTATATAATAGCCCACTCCTTCATCTTATTCATTTCTCAATGAACCCAACCAAACACACAGACACTTGATGGGAGTTTCTCTTTCCTTCACAAATCATATCATCTCCCTTATAGTCCCATCTCTGCCTCTCCTCTGAATATGCTATACTTTATTTGACGATAGTTATCTTGATTGGAAGTAGCAGCAATAACTTGTGATTTATACTGTCCGATATCGTTTTTGTTGTCCTTTGTGTGATACTATACTCAAGTATTGAGATTCAAGTCCTGCTTGATAACAGCGAATGGACGAGGGGATATCGAAGATACTGAATCACATACGCCCATCTTGATTCTTTTCGATCAGGTCGGAAAACAACAGAGAAACCTTATGTAACTCAAGCTTCGAAATTGGGATGAAGGATGGTTGTGAAGGGCATTTGAGTAAGAGGGAGATTCGGAATCTCCCGGGAAGCCCTGAATATAAACGTGCTTTGTCAGCCGTTATTGTAGCAATCTAGTACTCGTACATTTGTTCAAGCTCTGCCTTTAATTTGTAGGCCGAGGTCCAGTATATCCATCTTTATTTTTGATTCGAGGTGTTACAATCAGTACTTTGAACCAATCGGGAAACTGGCAGTTTGGAACTTGAAAGCTATAGTTTACTAATACTCAGTAGTTTGATCGATATACTCGAGTAGACTAAACAGATTAGTTATCGAATTAAATATATTAAATTTCTTACTGAATTGTTGATTTCTAATCAAACTATTAGTTTAATAATTAAATGAATAATGTGAAAACTAGAATTCAATTGGCAACTTGGATTCATCAAACTAAACCAATTAATAGTTTGGATTCACGAAACTAAACTACTAGTTTAATGGATTCAGTACACTACTCGAGTAGTTCAAATGGTTAACTATTGACTAATTATACTGATTCATTGTAAATAATCATCCAACCAGAGGAGTACTCAAAATATACAATTATTTCATTTCCTCCCTTGATCTAAATCTTCCAACCTATCTTCTAGTAGAAAGACACAATAGAGATCCGATCTAGAGAAGGTTTTATGGATGTTGCACTTCAAGTTTTGAGGATTCAATTTTGATAATATTGATTCTAGCAGTGTGAAACTATTGATTATAGGAGCAGTTTTACTATTTAGAGCTTTCGCGAATGAGATATCATATAACGGTATTCAATAGTAATATAATAAAGATTATAAACAACAATATATATATATATATACTCACTATCTAACATCACTACTATCATCATCATCATCATCATCATCTACTCCTAATGAATAAACATCCAAAGTCAAAAAATAGAAACACCCTCTCCCTCGCCCCTGCGCCCCCCTTCCCATTTACTGTACATAGTACTATATCAACAAAAGAATAAGAGATTCCACACCAAATTCCATCACCGATATTCATTTCTTCTTTATCTCATCTCATATCCTTTTCATATCTCAAAAACACTTGCTTATACTAGTACTACAAACTTGATGGAGAATTATTTATTCATTATACACCCTAGCCTACCTATACTATCTCATTCTATCTCCACAGATTATTTATATATAGCAGCACACATCGGTGTATACTCAAGTATATATAAAAGTTAAACACCATCTCTCATAACATTCCAATCTAGACTAGATTCTATCTATTTCCTTCTATATATTTCACTTCAATCAACAGTCCCCTAATATCCAACACCGGTCTCTTTCAAATCCAAATCTCTCTCTGATCCAACTCCTAATTCCTCAATCCTCAATTCTCAATTCTCAACTTCCATTAATCGAACTTCTCCCATTTCCACTCTCCACTCTCCTACTCTCCACTCTCCACTCTCCTACCTCCACCTCCACTCTCCTACTTCCACTCTCCACTCTCCCCCTCCATTTTCCACCTTCTCTCCCAACTTATATATATATATAATATATACACATATACCAATACCAATACAGTACAAGTACCAGTGCTAGTGATTCTTACTAGTAAATTATTTAATACCGGTAGATTGGTTCTAAATTTCTTTTCACTTCTACTTCTCCTTCTCCTTCCCCTTCCCTTCCATTTCATCCCCCCCCCTATTTCCCTTTTCCCCCAGCCCTAATCTAATTGCATTCCATCCCCCCCCCATTTTCCCTCCCCCATTTCCCATCCCTCCCCTCACTTAATTTTCCCTTTCCTTTTAACCCTAACATCCGAATAGCATATACCAGTAAACCAGTAAACAATACAGTACAATACAATACATACAACACAATATCCACCACTCATCTCATTCTATCATCCACCCACCCATCCATCCCTCCATTCATCATCCATCCATCTACCAACCAACCCATAATAACCATCCATCCCCTTTACTCCATCCTTTTTACTCCATCCCATCCATCTCATTTAGCTCTTTTTCAAAAACACACTAGATTTGATATTATATTATATCGGGGTATCAATTATCGTATTATATCGTATTATATTAAATTCGTAACTCATCTAGCCAGCAACTAGCGGCTAGATTTTACTATTTCTTTCTGGTATCTATTCAGATCATGGCATATCATGGCATATCATATCATATATCATGGTATTGATGATTGCCGATTTAGATATGCAATCCACTCACCATTCATTTCATCTCCATCTCCAACCATGGACAAAAACCACACTCCATCCATCCATTCATCCATCCAATACGCACATACAATCCCCCCTTTTCCCTCCCTTTTCCCCACCACCACTCACAACAAATATCTATACTCCGGACTCAAATCCCCCAAATCCATCTTCTCCTCCTCGGTAAGCCCCGAAACCCCAGCACCCGCCCCCATCCTCTTATCCCTCCTCCTATTCTCCCAACCGACCACCAAGACGTACGCCGCACAACTCACTGCACTTAAACACAAAAAGCCGAGACAAATCGCATAACCCGATTTAAACTCCGGGGAATCCTTTGCTAGAAACGCATACGTCGCGATGATCCCCCCCACATTACCAAAACCGACTTGCCAAGCCGAGCCTACGCTTCTGCGATGATGACCCCCGAGATTCATGTTGAACCAGCAAACTATGACTGGCATTGCACTATAGGAACCCATTGCCACCAGGAACAGGGCTGCGTATTCGAGTTTTGCGTTATTGTGGACCGTGAGTAGGATGGCGAAACCGGCGATGGCGACTGCGATGGGGGCGATGGTGAATGCGAAACGGTGGCGTGTCAGGTCGGAGAAGGTGGCGATGAGCATGGCGAATACAAAGGCGCAGGCCCATGGGGGAACGGAGTGGAGTTGTGTTTGGATGGGGGTGTAGCCGTAGGTTGAGATGATACCTGGTGCGAAGAAGGCGTAGCCGTAGGCTGGGATGATCATGCCGAAATACATGAATCCGCCTAAAATGACCTTGTAGTCTTTTAATACGTGGATTGCATCTTTGAATGTGATTTTTCGTTCAGCTCCACTCTGTCCTTGATCAACTTGGAGACGGGCTTTGACGTAGGCGCGTTCGTCGGGGGTGAGCCATTGTGCGTCTTCGGGGAAAGAGGGAAGGAGGAAGAAGAATAGTAAAGCTATGACGCAAGTGAGAACACCTTCTAGGATGAAGATCCAGCGCCAACCGGAATGACCCCTCAAACCATCCATTTTCCCAATGGCGCTAGCGAGCAGACCACCGAAAGCTCCAGCGAGAGTGGTACTACCGAAGAAAAAGGAATAACGACGTTGGGCTTCGGATCGTTTGTACCACATTCCGATGAGATAGAAGCAACCTGGAAACATACCGGCTTCACACAGACCCAGGAAGAAACGAGTGGCGAGAAGTCCGCCGAAGTTTTGCACGAGTCCTTGACAGATACCCACGAGACCGAAGAGGAACATGAGGAACGAGAGCCAAATGGCGGGCTTGAGACGCTTCAAGAGTATGTTGGAGGGGATTTCAAAAAACACATATGGAACGAAGAAGATGGTTAGGGCGGTATTGTATTGAGTTCCTGTTAAGCCCAAGTCTGTTGCGAGATGAAAAGATTTGGCATTGGCGATATTGACTCGGTCCAAAAATGCTAAAAGGTACATGATACATCTATGATATGATAGTTAGAGTGAGGTTTGGAGGTACTTTGGTACTTGACTTTACTTACAAACATGGTATCACACGTAAATCGATTTTTCGCATAAGCTTTGCTTCGGTTGTATGTGAAGGGCATACGACCTCGATTGGAATATTTGGAACATGGCTGTTATTACCCTCATGCTTAAAACCAGCTTCGTGATCTTCTGATAATGAAGCTGTGGGTGGAGGGGAAGATCCCGTTTCTTCTGAATTGAATTAGATTGAGCTTGGAAAATGTGAGGTCTTGAGATTGTTTGAAGTACTAGTATGATATTTTCGTTTAAAGATCACTTGATCAACTAGAGTAGATATCTAGCAATATTTTACTATTTTACTTTGAGTTTGTCTTCTACGTTGAAAGATCTCAAAGTTATTGGGATAGATTTCCGACAGTGATAGATAAATAGTACCGGTATGTATGCAGGAATGAGGTGGTACTAACTATCTTTTGATGCAAATAATCCCATTTTGGTAATCCTCTAATCCTCTTCCTTGGCTACTTCATGCAATATAAAAATGCCAGACCTAATCGACGACGCACCTTTATAGATTTTGATAAAGGCAAAATGTAACAAATGTGAATATGAGTATGAGTAAGAATACTTAAAAAACAAGATCAACAGAAAATAAATATAAAAAAAAGCCACCGAGCTGCTTTTCTAATCAATGAAAGTAAGATTCACTTGATGAAGCTAGTAATATTGATCGGACAATCATCGCAGTAAATGGACAAGGGATGAAGTTATCCCCGCATTTATATTCGGGATATAAAAAGATATGAGGCCGAGGAAAAGGAAGAGGAAGAAGTCATAAAGTAAGGTAGGTTTACAGTACTTGAGTACATATTACATATTACCGTTCAATAATTTGACTCGTATAGGTACTGTATGTATAGTCGTAACTCGTCTTGTGTTTTGCTTTCCATATCCACATTTATATACCGGTACATATCAGTATTTTTATAAGGTAACCTAACTTTCAGCAGTAGAAACCTTTTCATTGAGCAAAGATTCCGAATTTGGTGTCACTTGTCACTCTAGATCATATTTATTATTATTATCCCAAGATTCCCATCTCATCCCATCTCATCCCATCCCCATCCCCATTCTCATCCGCATTCCCATCCGGATCCGCATCCTCGCCGAATTTTGATCAAATATCGGGAACTACATGGGGGACCATCCTTTGAAGCTGAGATTCAATGGGGCGAGGTATTCTTACTGGTTGAGTTGTTGGTCTATGACTCTTGAGAAGTGGATTAGGTGGCTCAAAGAATGGAAGCTCGTGAGATTTGAGTGTTTGCGGGGAGAGCTTGGCACATCCTGCAGAAAGCGGTATCGGAGGATGTTGTTTTGTTATTACCTATGTTTGTTTGCATGCTTCCTGGTTGTTTGTATTATGAGTATGGAGTTATGAGTCTAGATTGATCTTTGGCTCGGGTATAGATTCGAGAAGATGGGGATTGTGAATGTTTTGATATTGGTCCGAAGAGATATGGTAGATGTACTCGAGTATAAGTGGGATTAGTTGGTACAAACATACTGCTCGAGAATGAAATAACGAGGCTTCGTTTCATTCAATTCCCGACATTCAATAGATTCAGCCCCCGAATTAACCCCTTGTCTACGAGTTAATTGGAAAGTTATTTAAAGAATCATTGATTGCTGCTTTTGATATAAATCTCGACCGCTCTGATGGACTTCATATGAAGGGGGGGTTTGAGAATTCATGAATTCATCCAAGCGAGTTATAGGACGGACGGAAACCCTCCGGTATCACAAGGCTTATACACGAGGCTATACCTTTAGGAGGAAGAAAATACATCATTTCTTGAAAACATACAACATACAACACACAAAGATGTTACTATTATATCTTCCTCTATATATTGTTCCGAAACAAAACGTAATATAATAAGCTTGGTTTTGAGTACGAGTTAACTGAATAAACCTTCTTGTCCAACTTGTTATCTAGCGTCATTTTCTTTCTTGGTATGCTTTTGCTGATTTGCTACTGGCGTTAAACTATTAAACTATCTGTTGTCGGATATCCTTAGTAAGTCTCACATTTTTTATCAATAACCTCCTTTCTCAATGGCTTAAAAGCCTTGATTCATTTGCATCTTTACTTGGTTTAGTATTACTAACTAACGCTTGCAGTGAACCACGAGAACCCATCCTTCACCCATTCATAATTTCAAAATCAATAAATCTTACATCATGTGATTGATTTTATACATACTACTGATATACCTCCTACCTAACTTTCAAAGGTATACAGTATATTAGGAGTTATTTTTATTCTAATCAACTTCTGCTATACTTACCTATATCATCCCTTGAGCTAGCTATTTCATTTCATAAGTCTTTCTTTGAACATTGGCTTAGAAACAAGTTTATTCTCTTAACCGCCTGTTGTGAAAACTAACCGCCGCTTGCCTCACATCATCAGCATACCTACTTCCTACCGTACACCACCAAGGAAGGGAAAACTAATATATAATCAACCTTGCTAAACAAACACAATTTACGACTTCGTTCGAAAACAAATCCTTTCTCTTTCATCAGGTACGATACAAGGACTTCTCAAATTCTTGAGAACACTCAGAAAATCGGTAGGTACCTACCTACCTAGCCTTTACAACCAACCACTCTCTCACTCTCACTCTTATTGCTTTCACTCTCACTTCGTCTATCTCCCTTCATCCCTCTCACACCCTTTATCTTCCCTACCTCCCTCCCTTTCTTTCGTCTTTTCCTCTTTTCTATATCAGACATTGCAAGTAGGTGGCGGTTGAGGTTCGGTAAAAAAAAAAAAAGAAAAGAAAAAAAAGGTAGTTTTGGGCTAGAATCAAACTATTAACCACCGGTCCATTGATTAGCCCCGGAACACAACCACAAAACCACAATCTCGATTCCTTCTCACATCTCATTCACATACGACAGATCATCTCACCACACAACCCACCACCTTCAATTTTCTACTACCCCAAGAAAGTTTCCTTTCCTCCTTTCAACAAAATATACTTGTCGCCAGTAATCCCAATCTGACGACTAGTAAATATAACACCTTTTCAACACTGCTACTACTACTACTACTACTGCACAAATTCGTGGATGAGACATCACATTATCATTGATTACGGGTGGGGAGCGATTCGACATCCTCATCATCATCAATTAAATTTCACCCACACCCATTCTCGCTTTCGATTTAATATATATACAACTCTACGAGTATAACGATCATGAGTGCTCCTCCTATATCTTCTTTCGCAGGCGGCGATATCGTTTTCGATCTTGACGCAGCTTTTAAAGAGTCCCTTGTTATTGCTCGAGATGTTGTCAAGGGAGCGATATTAAAGCATTGTGATGCCTCTCTTGATGGGCATAATATTTGTTTCACGGCTCAGAAAATACTTGATGGAGATACTAGATATAATGGTTTCCTCACCATGCGAGATTCAGAATCATCCTCAAATAGGACGGCTTACAATAATAATAATAATATTGTTCAACTTCGGTATTCCGGGAACACCATAGGTCCAACTGATCAAGCGACGACGATGATGATGATGGGTCGAATGGCTTCACCTTCACCTTCATCTTTGCATTTGAACAATAATATCAATACTCACTTTTATGGCGGAAATTCTTTGCAAAACTATGGTCATTCCAATTTTCAACCACAATCTTCCTTTAACGTCAACAGCAGCGTCGCTCAAACTCAACCCGAACTTCCACAGGTTGCGGTTTTGCTAAGAGCCGCGAATGATTCCCACCATCGACCACCTTACCCTATGTTAAACAACAATTTACATTCACTCTCTTCATCAAACCAGCGTCCGCGTCAACTGCAAGAAGTCTCACCTGGGATTGAATATCCTCGAAATTTGGAGAACCTCTTCTTTCGATCCAACTCAATTCTCGCATTGCAGAATACCAACCCTACGATTCGAAGCAACGTTCAACAGCAGATGATCGCTCAGTTACAACAAGGTTCTCGCAATTTCGCACATCAACAACCTTATTCAAATAGCCACACGGCATATAGTGGGCAAGGTTCACCTTTAAATCTAGAAAGATCCAGCTCGAACGGTTCGCTTCTATCCAATTTGGCTCTACCACCTCTAGCCCCGGCTCAAATATCTCCACGTTCTCCACGTCTTGATAATTTACTCATTGTAGAATCTCGATCTACCACACAAAGTCGCTCAGGAACACCACTGGACTTCGAGATGGCTAAGAATACCAACCCGAAGAAGCGCAAGACGCAGACTGATGAGCAGAAGGCCGCCAAGAAGGCAAAGGTCAACAAAACTGACAAGGCGGATAAGCTGGAGCTAGTAAGTATTACCATTCAAATATGTGTGCCACAAGATATCTGACTCTTCTAAAGATGAAGGACCGAGCCAAATTCAATCTGCCAGTTGTAATTTGGATGCGCATTCTCGAATTCTGCCCTCCCATATTTCTCCGAAAGGCTCGTCTCATCAACAAAGAATGGAAAAGCTGGATCGAAGACTACCAATCTATCCACATCAACTGCCGCAGAGAGAACTTTGGTTACAACATGCCCGAGAGCGTTCCAGGTTTATCAGCAAAGCAATATGTCGATCTTTTGGGTGGAAAGGGTTGTATGGAAATCAACTGCAAAAACAAAGATGCGAGCAGAACACATTGGGCCTGGAAGAAGAGGTGGTGCTTGAAATGCTGGAAGGGGAAGATTGAGAGGGAAGATCGTATCCAAAAACAACACCAACTTGAGTTTCTCCGACCCACTATGGACAGATTGCTTGAGTGCATTCCTGTTAGCATGTACGACTCTTTTGGCAAACCTCACGATTATGTCGATGAAGCGCAACCTCAGGCCAATCCCACTGGGACACCCAGACTTTACAAATACTACCTGCTCAGCGACGTCACTGGAATTATCAAGGAATATGAAGCTCTCACGCCCGACCCATACCGGGAAGATCCCACTCACGATGCTCAACAGAAAGCTGCCGCCCGCCAAATTTGGGAGGAAAAAATGGCAAAATTAGACGAAGATCGCAACAAGTTCTTTGAAGCAAAGAAGGCCGAAAACGAAAAGCTCATGCAACTTGTTATACAAATCGAAGCGGCAATTCGCGAGAGAAGAGCAAAGGGTCGCAAGCCGAACGATGCCAACCGTGAAAGTCGAAAGTCCCTCTTCATCGAGGGAGCCAAGCGTGATATCCCGGATATTCCACTGGATTTTGTTATAAGCGCCAAGGCATTCAAAGCAGCCATTCGAATCTTTAGAGACGGCGGCTCGGAACGAGGTTGGAGAACCTTGATGCCGAAGATCGTGGCAGAATACCAAGAAAAGGAGAAAGCTCGCCAAGCTACCAATGCTGCAAGCGATGCACCGAGCCTAGCCAACACAGACGAACTTGTTCAAATGTCTGGCAACAACTTTGGAAATTGTGGTCTAGATAATGGCAATTTTCCACAAATTGGCAATCATGGCCTTAAACAAAACGCACAGCAAAGTCAACTCCCAGGCCTTCTTCAAGTTCAAAAAGCCGCAAGCCAATCTGCCTTTACAAACAACAAATCTTTTGGCATTGCTCATACTGGTGGCTTACTTGGCTACAGAAACAACTTCATGGGTTCAGGATCACGACCATCGAATACTACATATGCGTCCTATCTTGGCGGCAGATCTCTCATTCCTTCGAATCACACTCATGATAACAGTGCTCCCTCTTCACACATGCTTGTCAATTCATCAAGTAATGTTTCTCAACACAACAACGGCTCTGCGGTCGGTTCATCGAGCAATTTTTCTCACAATAGTCATGGATTTTCTACCAGCTCATTAAATCATGTTTCTCAGAACAATACTGGTTCATTTGTCAGTTCACCGATCAATGCTTCTCGCTACAATGGCTTCAACCCTAGCTCGTTGAACCATGTTCCTCGAAACAATAATGGCTCATCGCTTGTGTCTGGCAATCCATCAAATTACACTTCTCAAAACAACAGCGGTTCTTCTGTCGGCCCGTCTAGTCGTATTACCCATAACAACAATGGTTCACCACTTGTGCCTGCCAATCCTTCAAATGTTGGATCATCCTCCACTCCACGAACTTCCATGTCTATCGCTTCCCTTATTACACGAACCCAACCTCATCAAGGCAACTGAATGGACATTAGTCAATCCATTATCCGAAGATGAGTAGGTCTTCCATTTTACTTCTCACCAGCACGTAAAATGGCTTGGTATGAGCAACCTTGAAGGCTTTGAAGACCAGACCGTCGTACATCTTCATTTTTAAACTTGAGTTCAATATTGCATTTTATTTTCTATCCGGTTTTTCGTTCTGCTTTTCAGCATCAAATATTGGCGCAAAGGAAAGCGCAATACCCCACGAGGAACAACGGTTTCAATCAGGAGTTTATCATTGACCATAATTTATCATTATGGTAGGGGTTGGATGGGTGCATATGAGGGTTATGAGGTGTTTTTACATGAGGTATCCCATGTGGTGGCGTCTTAGAGGCTGATTCACATATGATTTTCTTTAGTCGTTGATGACTATCAGATAGATTGAGCAACACGAGGGATGCATAACAAATATGGGGCGTTTTGGTAGCATATGCATGAAAGTCATCGATTCTCTTTAGTGTCGGCTTTTTGCTTCTTATTTTTTTTCAATTCTTCTCTTTTGCATTTCCAATTCTCTTTGGTGTTAATATGATACGACGAACGGTTGTGGAACGAAGGGTACATTGGTTGGAGAACTGAGATTTGGAGATGGGAAATGAAGAAAGAAAGAAAGACAGAACAGAATACAGGAAGGCTTCGCAAGCTCACGGATTATACATACGTTGGTGAATGGGGTGGGTCGTCTACTGGATTTGACTTCTGCATTTACGTTAGCATAGTACATACATACAATAAATACATACATTCCAAACATACATTCCAAACATCCAATCCTTTTGGTCTTTTTCAAAATCATGGCGGTTGTGAGGTTTGTAATTTTTCCATTCTGTACGAGTACAAGTAGATATATCATATCATATCATATCATATCATATAGGACTCGACTTTCCGCTTTTCTATATTGAGTACGGTAATCAGTTATTATTACGAGTAAGAGATATAGAGTATTGAGAGATGTGTGAGTGTGAGTGTGACTGAGTGTGACTGAGTGTGAGTGTAGCTGGCTAACCGAGGTAGGGAGGGTAGGGAGGGGTAATGGGGTGATGGATGGGCTGGGATGGGATGGATGGATGGATGGATGTATGGATGGCTAGCTGAGAGATGCTAGGTTAAACTATAATAAATTAGATTAAATTCAACTAAATTTGTTTGTGTGAGTAGGGTGGGGCTGGGTAGGATTGGGTAGGGTAGGATAGGAAAACATGAAAATACGAAAATACGAAAAGCTATAGCGGAGGAGGGAGGTGGGAGAGAAGTGAGGAGGAAGGGAGGAGAGGAGGGGGGGAGAGGAAAGGAGAGGAAAGGAGAGGAGGGAGTGTTAGGGGAAAAGGAGGGAGGAGTGAGGAGAGGTGAGGGCGAGACTACGGTATGAATTTCAGGGGGGGAATGGGGTTGAATGGGGTTGTAATGGGATTGTAATGGGGGGAGGGGGTTGTACATAATAATGATAATGACGGACTGAGCTGAGCTGAGAGTGACTGAGAGTTATTGAGGGTGTGGTGACTAAATGATTCACTTATTCTTATTGAGAGTAAGTTGCAAAATCTGAATCAGAATCAGAATCAAGAATCAAGGGTGCAGAATCAAGGATGTAGAATCAAGGATGTAGAGATAATATGATATGATATGATATGGTATGATATAATATGATTTCAAGGTCTAAAAGAAGCGGTGGAAGCTGGGAGGTGGGAGGTGGGAGGTAGGAGTAGCATGTAGAATTTGGCCTTGCTTAGCTTGGGATGAATACTAGAATAGGTATTTGTTCAGAATGGAAGGATTTCACTATTGGATGTTGGATGTAGGATTTTGGATGTGAGATTTAGAGCTGAGAGTCGAGGTTAATGCGTATGTGTGTGCATGTAGGTTAACGAACGTCGGATCTGAGATGAAAATGAAAATGAAAAGAATGATGAAAATGATGGCGGGATTTGAAAGACTTGAAAGTTGAGATTGATTGTTGTGATTGATTGTAATTTGTTTCTATGATATGTATGTATACTGACTGGTATTTAATTAATTCTAAGCACAACAAATTATATCATTCGTATCATGATAGTTTTTGAGGAGTGCTAGGGTTAGGGTCAGGGTTAGTGTTAGTGTTAGATAGTTGGGTAGGAGGTCTAGCTGGCTATAAGCTATGACAGATGACAGATGACAGATGACAGATGCAGATGATAGCTGGTTATGGGTGGCAAAACAGAACAGAACAGAATAGGAAAGCTGCAAGTAAGTCTTTGGGTACCGGTATCTTTTCTTTTCGGAAGGGAATGAAGGGAATGAAATGAAGTCACTAAGCTTTATTGAGGCTGAGTTGGTAAAAGGTGTGTTATCTATTTGATTTGATGCAGAAGGGAGGGAGGGAAGGTAGAGAAGGTAGGCAAACGGGGAGGAAAATGTAATTTTAATTCGGTGAGTACCTTTTAGACTCCTAGTAGGAATGGAATGGTGAATGGGTTGTATGTTGATGGATTTGGATGTGAATGGCAGGAGAGATGGAAGGTGGAAGATGGAAGATGGATGTCACTGGGCTATTGTTTTGGGTGGGGGAGGCGAGAGCAGAGCTACAGTCGACGCTGTGCTTATCTTGTCTTCTTAAACTCGAAGTATTCTGATCGAGAGTTAAAGAAGCAGTGCTATGTACAAGCAATGTAGTCAGTAGTGTGCCCCAGTCAGGAAACTGGCAGTTTGTTTGGCTTATACAAACTAAACCGACTGCCCGTTTAAATTCAACAAACTAAACTGCTAGTTTCACCAGTGCACTGTGCACTGTTTCAACTGGTTAAGTTAACTATTGACTGACTACACTGCGACTACACTGCGGATAGGCGTGGGGCAAGTTCTGATTGCATGAAGGAACTTCATGGAAGGATAGGCAGGCCGAAGAGGTATGCAAGATTACGATATATTGATTTCGTTGTTCGTGTGTGTGAATTTCTATCGGATCAGGACCTCGTTGCGTGATGAATGGCCAGGCTCTATGATTGTTACCCCTGATTCGATGGATAGATGGCATGATAGAGTATAGCGTCGAGATAATACTGTATCGTTTTGTATATTTTCTGAGATGTAAGAAGGTAGGGTTGTATTAGTGAAATTGAAGTGAACTGCCAGAGCTGTGGATATAGTTGAGAGAGGTACATGTATATGCTATTGTAGATGATGGGTGGGATTAAGTTAAGGGCGACATCGATATCTGGCCTCTACTGAATTTATGACTAGATTTGTGCTATGCTATGCCTTGACTGTAGACTGTAGTGAAACTGCCTTCAACGCTACGCTCGAATAGAAAGCGCTCTTGAGTTTCGATGGAGGAAAGAAACTTGTACTCGAGTAGGGCGCACTAGATTCTAGAGTCGGTCGGTAGCGGTCAGCTAAAGAAAAAGGACCGCTTAATCCTGATCCTGAATCGATGAGCTGAAGAAGTGGCGATAAAATAACATAACATGACTGACACGGTGCTGCCAGTCAAGGCGCTGATGGAATGGGAATGGAGGCTAGAGGATGGAGGATTGAGGATGGATGACTACAGGCTGCGCTGGACACCATAATAATAGAAGATTAGTAGTAATAATAATAACAAAAACTTTATTACAAGATATTTGAATTCTATATCGAATTCTATATATATAATATCCAGTCTATATTTCTTTCAACAGGTTCTAATCTATATTAGATATAAATTTCTATCTATACATACTTAGACGCTTCGAAGCTGCAAGATGGGTAGTCTAGGCTTCTTTCTGATCGACGTACAGGTTTCTGATTCTCGAAGTCATGCGTGATTATGCTGATTGATATTCATTATCTCATGACATGATGTATCGCTTGACGGCTTACTGTACTTGCATATGACATGTGAATGGATGGATGGATACAACCACTACACTGCTACTACTCATAGAATAGAGAAAACTTAAGACTAAATAATGATGCTGTAAGTATTCTGAACCTCGTAGTACACACTATCTTGATACCCTGTGCAGCTATGCCCGAGAATTACAAGTTACAACTGATTATTGTATCACTACAGAAGATCTAACCTGCCACCTGCCACCCATATGGTATTCAAATACTTGATTAGATTTCCTTTTGTAGGGTAGGGAACAAGGTTGACAAAGTCTGTTCTGTTCTGTTTTGATTACCTTGATTTAATTCATAGAGTAAAGAGTAAAGAGTACCAATATGTAATTTTGATTTTTCAGTTGATTTGAGTTTAGATTTAGATTTAGATTTAGATGCGAAATGCCCCCCCCCCCCTGAAGCAGCAAATCATACATAGAAACTTGACTGCAGGAAAATTTCACAATTTACAAGTTACTAACTGGGGATAGAGGGATTGCTAAAGATGCAGGTAGGTGTTGTTCAACCAGCTATATTCAACTTTCAAGCAATATATACGAGATAGTGGAGCTAGACTGTGGACGAAGTGCAGCGACCCGGCTAGCTTCTTCTCGTATGTTTTATTTTAGTTTCCACCAATCTGATTTGAATAATTAGTATTCTCTTTATATTAATCATTTACAAGAAATGACACCCCTTTTGACCTGCCCACCCGGGATATCTTTTCTCGTTAGAGATATTTTTTAATCTTATAAAAATGAAATCGGAAAGCTAGACAAAGTCTAACGAAGTTGGGTTTTTTCTTCTTCTTTGCTTTTTTTTAATATCGATCTGATTATTTAATTATTTTATAAGAATTGATATTCTTTTCATTTGTTTATCTATAGCAGTGGATGTCATTTCTTATTAGAGATTATATAATCAAATTAGCTTAGCTAATTAGGCTAATTAGACAAAATGAACTTAATAGACTTAATAGACTAACTACTCGAGTAGATTAACTAGATTAACTAGACTACCTAGACTAATATCTATAATTTTGAGACTAGGTCTGGAAAGTTCGTTTTAATCAATAAGCTATAAGAATAAAACTTTCAATAGTTTATATATAAAAAATAAAGCAGATAATTACGGCACTAGGCGTGATTAAGCTTTATACATAACCTAGCCCTACTTTACGTAAAGCGCCCAACTTGAACCCTACAAGTTCTGACACCTGCGTGATGTGCTGCTAAGTGACTTACACCATGTAATACGAGAACTGATGTCTTAATAGCCCCGGTCATCAGGAATTTTCGGGACCGAAGTAATTCGAGTGGATACACATCAGATGAGGTAGTGTACTCCGCAGTGTACTCCGTATGTACAGTACAGTATTATACTTTCCGCGCTTGGTTATTTTATGTAATCGATCAGATAAGATCTTCTTTACCCATGAATCAATCTAATAAGATCTTCTTTAAGGTTTTTACTCATGTAATCAATCTGATAAGATCCTTCATCTGCCAAGAACAGTTGCTAAATGGGGGTGGCCTGTTCGGACAGGTTCAGATGGAAGAACTCAGAAAAGCAAGGAAAAAGACGAAGAAATAGAATTAACTCTGCATCTTCTTGCTTTGTGTTTGCCGACTTCGGAATTGGTGACTCCTAGGATACATCGCCATGAATACATAAAGGCGTTGAGATGCCCTTAGGACGACAGAGTAGAACAAAGTACATCAATACTTCAATCACCTCTTCCACCTTTACAAATCGTCCCTGACAACTTCACCTTACGATCAATATGCGCTTCTCCAGCACTCTCGGTGCTATTTGCTTGTTGGCGACTATCGGTCAAGCATTGCCTCTCAACCCTCTGGATTCTACACCAGTAAGTAGGGAATATGCCCCGCGCAGCTTAGACAGTTGTCCTCCTTTCTAAGAAGCCTTGGTATTTCATTAGCTAATGTCATATCTCCACACTTTTAGTCCCCCAACGTCGAGAAGCGTTCGTGCAGCCTTATCTGGTTCGAACGCAATGGATGCAACTTCGATGTTGCTGAGATTGAGACGAAACGCGATGTTGCTGAGACTGAAGCCGAGGTCGCTCCAGCCGTTGAGATTGAGGTCGCCCCCGTAGTTGTGAAGCGTTGCAGCTTTTTCCAGGCCATAACCGTTGGAGCGTTGGATGCAGCTCCGTGGAAGGCGAGACTGAGGTAGCTCCCGTAGTTAAGAAGCGTTGCAGCTATTTCCAGGCCATAAGCGGTAAATGTAGCTCCTAGGAAGGCGAGACTGAGGCTTGATTGCAATGGATGCACATAGGTCATCTGAGATTAGAAGTAGCTTAGCTATGAGCGGGTCTATCAAGGTATCATATGTGAGGCTGTAGCTTGGATATTCTGTGTATTTAGAGTGTGTAGATGTGTATATATACATCCAGTTTCATAACGTGATTTTAACTTCTCTCGCGGATCTTCAATCTATCCCCTTAAATGCTAAAAACCGCCGCGTTCGCTTAATAGAGGTCTTATCGACCAATCAGAACATCATAATTGCTGAGACTTAATGAAATCTTTGTTTTTAATCTACTCGAGTATATTATAAAATTTAAATAATCATTATTTCTGTATTAAAGTCATATACAATGAATATATAATAGTCATTATACGATTTGATTTCTGATATCAGCCTTGTGATATTTATAGAAATCTTTGCCCAATCAACTGTACGTACTATGTTAAAGCGACCGCTAGTGTACGCGGAGCCTCGTGTTCTTGGCTGATATGGAGGGGTTGGGCTAAAGATCTGGCATGTGAATGAAAATGAATAATGTCCTTTAATACTTCTTTTTCTCCTTCTTTTCGAGATTACGAGTAGTGTAGAGACTAGAAACTAGAGACTAGAGACTATCTACTTTTTATTTACGAGGAATAGGTTGGAATAGTGGATTGATTCCGATTAATTAGAAGGAAGGGAAGGAAGGAAAGGGATATATTTGGTTTCGCAGGTATTTGCATTGGAAGGGATATGTCATATACTCGAGAATGATATAATATGATATGACAGCCTTGCAATCGCAATCACCATGTCGGAACTTGTGGAGTTGGATTTGGATGTAAGTTTGGATTTGGATTTGGACATTGATTTGGAACGCTTGGTTCGGGGGGAATCACAGACACAGGCGCAGAACCAGATGCAGAACCAGAACCAGATGTATAGTCAGATGCAGAACCAGACGCAGCAATCGCATGCGCAGAAATTGAGAGAGAGTGCCGTGGGGGATGCTGTGAAGCGGGGAGATGTCGGGGATGCTGTGAGGAGGGGGGAGAATGCTATGAATGGTCCGAGGGGAGAGAGGAGTCCTCATCCGTATCTTAAGAGGCATGAGGAGATTCCAGGTGGGGGTGAGAGGGGTGAGAGGGTACTGACTTCGCGACCTACTTCTTCGCGAATTACTTCTTCGAGACCTCCTTCTCCGCGACCTCCTTCTTCACGACTTCCTTCTTCACAACATCCTTCCAACCCCCGAACAAGACCTATCTCTTCAGGGTCTTCCGCATCGCCATCGTCACTGCGTTCGGCGCAAAATGCCGACGATGAATTATATAAAGGTGTTAGGATAGTAGTAGATGAATTTCCAGGTGGATATGTCGAATATACCAATAGCGACAGTGGGACCGAGGCAGATGATGAACATTTTCTCAAGGGATTACCTGCTCCGAAGATAAAACCGCACAAGGGATTGAGGGGTGAAAGTGGTGGGATCTCGAGTACGCCTAGTCCATTGTTGAGTCCGGCTATTTTGGATGATGAGATGCGATGGAAGGAAAATGGAAGGGTTAGATCTGCAGCGCCGGCTTCGAAGATACTGACGGATGAGGAGCAACGGAAGTTAATTGAGAAGTTTAAACAGAGGAGGAGGATTGAAATTATAAGGAGGTCAACTGAGGCGCTTTTACTATGTTTCGTTGGGGGGATAATATACCGGAGTCAAGGTGTTAAGGAAATTGTCTATTTATGGAGGAATGGTATGCTTCTATCTCTACTACTTCAAAAACCATGCTAATCAGACCATGAAGAACTTATTTGTCAAGTTATTATTATAAGTGGTTTAATAGCTCTATACCCGCTCCGACTGTTGCGACATCTAAGTTCCCGAACACCATGGAAATCTCCATTCCCTTTCACCATACCGGCAATATTTGATCCGGCTCCTCTACTATATCCTCCCACATTAACGATGCTCGTCTCGATACTCCTTTCAGTCAGTGATCCCTGTGGTCTTTTACCAAGTATGATTCTCGCAATATCTACATTGCCGAAGAAATTAATCCCTGCGATTGGAGGTCTAGAGGGTCGAGATATGCTACATTGGGTATTAGCATGTATGCCATTATTCACGACAACATTGACCAGGGCTCCATTCTTGAGCAATGACTCACTACCCCTAAATCCGGAGGTTTTGGTGTTAATACCACCGCTACATCAAGCTTTGTGTACCACACTTCATTACCTCACAACCACCAGTCTTTTGTCCGCCGAGCTACAATTATTACCAACCGCCCTTATCAACCTCTTGCTCAGAGCATCATCTCCACAAGCAGTCATTTTGAAAGCACTTCTTTGGGGGGGTGGTATCGGTATTCTAGTTACTTGTACACATGTCCTTAGATGGGGTGTTGCATTGGCTCGAGTCCCAACATGGAGATTTAGAAGACCTGATTCCAAGAAATCAGGTTTTAGACTCAGCAGAAGATCATTATCATTCGGTGCGAATACTTTGAGCGTTTTTGCTAAAGACGCATTTATTAGTGATACGAGCGATGACGAGATTCTTCACGATCATTCAACAAGGAAAAGTGCCAAATTCCAAGCTGCAGATTTCTCTCCACTAGATGAAGATATCCAAACTGGTATCTCGAGAAGAAATACTCTCTCAACCTCTACACCATCTAGCCCTTCGAAATCAATGAAGACGACAACACCATCTGGTCGCAAGAAGAGGTCTTCGTCACTTAGTCTTCAATCTTTTTTGAAATTAACATATACACAAGCTACGATACGCAAATGGCTATACGCTATCTACGTATACATATGCATCCTAGTCATTGTCCTACTAGGTATCAGAGAATACGTAGGAAATCAAGCCTTACAATATCATGAACCCATAGGATGGGCTCTAGGCTACCTATTCGGCGATCTCCCACGCTTTCGCTTCGAAGTCGTGAGTGCCAATCTCCAACGATGGATACCTCTCCCACCTCGTTCACAAGAAACCGTCGCCTGCGAACCCAAAGGCTGGATCGAACGAATCCGCACCTCAGATTTCGGCCCCGCCAACACCCGTCTCATACTCTCCCTCTACTGGCTCCTCATCATCACCACCGGTCTCGCCATCGTCTTCCGTCTCTCCCGCATCTACGAAGTCGATACTCGACGCAAGGTTTTTCATTTCATGATGGTGGCTATGCTTTTGCCATCCACTTTTGTCGATCCTACATATTGTGCTTTGGCACTCAGTCTCGTGTTGGCGATATTTTTATTGTTGGATATGGTACGGGCAACGCAGATGCCGCCGCTTAGTAGACATTTGGCGAGATTCTTGACGCCGTATGTTGATGGGAGGGATTTGAAGGGGCCGGTGGTTATTAGTCATATCTTCTTATTGATTGGGTGCGCGATGCCGCTTTGGCTTTCGCTGGGCTCGGTGGCGGTATCGGGGTCGGTGTCGGTGGCGCGTGTGGAGAACGTAATGGGTGGACAAGATCCAAAATCAAAATCAAATATAGATATAGAGGGAGATGTAGATGCACTAAGAGGCTGGGAAATTCCCCAAAGAGAAGTAGCAATGGTAGCAGGAGTCATCTGTGTAGGCCTAGGAGACGCAGCCGCAAGTCTAGTAGGCAGAAGATGGGGCCGACGCAAGTGGATTTGGGGGGGAGGGAAATCTTTAGAGGGGAGTGCGGCGTTTGTGGTGGTGGTGACGGTGGCGCTTGTGGGGGCTAAGGCGTGGGTGAGGTTTGGAGGGTGGGAGGGGGGGTGGAGGGGATGGGGGGTTTGGTGTGGAGGAGGAGGAGCCAATCATTATATTTATGATGTATATGCAAACGCAAATGCAATTGCATACGAAGATACATGGTCAAATACCCTAGGCAAAAGTATGTTAGCGGCAGTAGTAGCTAGTCTCACAGAAGCGGTGTTGACGGGGGGAAATGATAATGTGGTTGTGCCGGTGGTGCTTTGGTGTTGTGTTAAGGGGTTGGGGATTTAGATGGGGATAGGAAGGGATAAAGAGGGATATAGTAATGGAAGAGGGAAAAGTCTTTGGGGGTGTTGGAATTTGGGTTCGAATTTGGAATTTGGAATTTGGAATTTGGAATCTGGGGTTTGGTGTTTGGGGTTGTGGATGGGGAGGGATGAATGGATGGATGGATGGATGAGGAGGGAAGGGTTGTGAAGGAAAGGGATGTGATGCATATGCGAAATATGATGTGATATGATATGATATGCTCCAATCTAATGAGAATCGAGATAAAATAATAAAAGATAAAGATAAAGATAAAAATTAAAATCAAAAATATATACAAATAGTATAGTACAGTACTAACACTTGATAAAAGATGAGATTTGAGATTTAAGACGAGGTTTAAGATTAATAAATCATGGTCCTCGAGTATAGTATAATCAATAACTAAATACCCCAAAGTTCACTTTCCTCTCTCCTCCAGATCTCCTCGTATGCCGCGATCCTTTCAGGAGTTCCAAGATAACTCATTGCAGTTTGAACAACTGAGATAGATAGCATTATTTACTAGTAGTAGGCTTTTCTCCATCATCAATTCCATGAAATGAGGGGTCAAAGTTTAACAAGAACGCAAGATGTCTAGCTAGGCACAAAACTTGATCATAACCACGGGACGAGTTTGCCATCAAGGTAGGTCCGTAATTGGCACCTAAATTCCCTATAAATAATACAGATTTCTGTTTATTTATTTTTAAATTTTATATTATTCTGAAGTTTTTATATAATTGATTAAATTATTTTGTTCTATAATCTTTATAATATAGTATATTTATACTTCTTCTTTAACTTTAAGATTTGAAACTAAGGCCTCTGATATCAATAGTCACTCTCTCCCGGGCTTCTCAGCTGCCACCCCCTCACTTTTTGGCCTCCCTCCCCTCTCCCCTCCGTAGCCTCGCTGACCTCCTCTTCCTATGTGCATCCATCTATCCATCTATATATCTATAAACACTCCACCCACTCTCCTCCACCCCAGCCACTCCACCCCCCCCCCCCTCCTGCACCTTCATCCACCATCCCTAAATAAACTCCCAAACCACCACATCCCCACTCCTTCTCCAATCGTCTATCCACTGAGTATTTCTCTCCCTCCAAATCTCCTTCATTTTCTTACCTCTTCCTGCTCCTATACCCTCCTCAGCCAACCCCCCCTCGTAGAATTCTCGGATATCTGTTTCGATACCCTCGAAACCTACTAAGTAGCGCGGCCATTGTTTTTTGCTTTTGTTATCTCTACCCTCCTCACCACCATTCCCACCCCCCTCTTTCCCTTCATCATCCCACTCCTCAAAAACAATCATTTCCTCACTTAAAAACCTCCTTGGATCATCATAAAACCTATCAGCTTCATCTCTATACGCCCCTCTTTCATCCTCAGACAAATGAACAGGTGGTTCACAACCCAAAGCCCATGCTCCCAACCCTTTATACACCAATCTACTTCTCCAGCCCGTACTATGACACGGCATTAAGAATCCTACAAAGGGTTGTTCCATATCTTTTTCCCAATTGGGATTTTGGGATGTACCCATTGCACGAGCGGCATATTGAGAGTTTTCTTCTTTCTTGATATCGTAGTCTATGGTTAGAGATGGGGGAGGATTTTCATTGGCGGGGTAATGTTTTAAATATGAGTAGGCTTCTGGGGAATAGAGCGGGATTCCTTGCGCATCGAGCATTTCGCTTTCGTAGCGGTGTCGAATGAAGGTTGTTACGGATATGACGGCTGATTGATGAATGAGGGTTGTGTAGGCTGCTAGGGCGATGTTGAGAAGAATTAGGAGGATCAGGAGGGGTTTGCGGGTTGTTTTTGGTTCGAGGTTTGATGATGCGGAGGTGGCGGAGGTAGAGGAGGAGGCGGAGGGTGGAGTTTGGATTTCGGAGGTGAAGAATGAGGTTATTGAAGGAGCGGTCAGGATGAGAAGAATAGGAAGAAGTGGATATATGAATCGAACTTCTTTGTGTGAGATGGTGCTTAGGATGAAGATCATCACGGCAGTTAAATGAGTTAGGATTATTTGAATATTGCTGGTAAAAGTCTGCTTTGTTATCGTACTTGGTGTGTAAGTTTTGAAGATCGAGAGAATAGTAAATGGAAGATAAGTGAATAATAGAAGTGGTAAACCTTGTGAAAGGAAATAGTGCCAATCATTTTGACCGTAAATTACAGCGAGATTTTGGGAGATGTTGAAATGGAGCCATTGATAAGGCGGAAATGTCCATTCTCCAAAATAGAGTCGATCAGAGAAAGCTGAGATGAGGAGGATGAAAGAACCGCAGAGTACAGCTTCTCTGATGAAAACAATATAGTCTCGTGAGATAGGTGATTTGGAGGTTTCTTGGGAGTTTACTCCGGGTATTAGGGAAATGATTGTTGGCATTATGACACAGAACCATATTAAAAGATTCGTGGGTCGAAGAATGCAAGCGATACCTGCAAGAAGGAGGGCATATCGAAGGCTATTGTGATTAGATTAGTCTTTTGTTTGTTTGAAAACTCAGGGATAACTTACTGATTCACGGATTTCCCGGTCCTAAAAACACCTTCAGGTGCAGTTATGGATGATCCCCCTTTCGATTGCTCCTTGATTCCCTCTCCCGAATCAATTGCCATATCCCAAGGCCAATAATACAACGCAGTAATTGTCAAACTCGTTTCCAAAGAATTTGAGAAAGTCCTCGTAGAACAAAACCAATTCCAAGGACTTAATACACTCATGAGTAACTAATTTACAGGTTAGTATCCAATTCTCATAAACCATTCCCGACATAAACTTACGGTAACATAACCTGTTCTACTACCCAATCCATACATCTTCTCAGCCATTTTCCAAGTATAATAATCACAAGCTGCAGCAAAAATAGCTTGGATAATATTTGGTAACACAGCTAATATCTCTGCTCGAAATTGAGGGAAGAAATTCAATAGAGCCATGGGTTTATCTACTAGATAATATGCAGCTGCAAAAAGAGCTGGGTGAAGTGAAGATCGTAGTTGATAATGCCATTCCTATGTTATCTCATTAGTATCTATTATTCTTCTATCATATTGTAATATAATTGAAAATGACGCTCCGCTGGCCCTCCCGGGGGGCCACTGCCGTGGTGGCTTCTTTTTGTATCCAGTACCCAAGAGAGGGAAAAGAGAAAAATACATACCCACGTGAGCCAAGCACCACTATCCGACCCAAAAGCCATTTGCCATGCTGGTTCTAATGATTGAAAATATTCATCTGGTTGAAAGAATGTTTTGACCAGAAATGAATTGAAGACTCGGAAAACGAGAAGAAAAGTCCAAATATCTTTTGCGGTTTGTAAATTGACTAATTTATGTAGTCCATTTTCTTGAATATCTGGATTTTTGGATAAAGTATCGGATGGGTGGTTTGGGTTTGAAGTTGAAGGTAAGGGTAAGGGTAAGGTTACCTCTGTTGGAGTAGAGGTTGAGATTGGATTTGACATGGCGAAGGGTTATTCATGAAGATGAGAGGAGACGAGAGAGAAAGGAGGAGAGGATAGAAGAGAGGATAGGAGGAAGGATGTATAAAGAGTGAAGAATTCAATGTATATTAAACGCATATGTAAAATGGAGAACATATGAATTGTACCTCCGTAGATGTATTCTGTGCTGATCTAATTTCTTATTAAGGAGCCCACGTGTTTTGTGTGGTGGATATTTACCCGACTGAAGTGTTGATGCCTCGATACCTTAATGCTATTGATTGTCAATTGAGTCATCTGAGTCGTTAACCATCCATCTCTTGGCATTTAAAGCCATTGTTCAACGGACCCTGATGTGTTACCCTGATGTGTTACCCTCCATTGCCATATTTATGTCTATTTACATCTTCTATTCTCTATACACTCGAGGAGATATACTCATATATATATGAGAATATACAATACTCATATATATAAATATACATATATACCAGTACCGGTACCGGACTGTATCCAAGGATTCAAAACAACCCCTCGTGCTCAATGCTTACTTCTCCCCTCCCCCCTGTTAACCCTTCAATTCACTTCACCAATCAAATAACAAATGATTACCAAGTCTCAATGATAGGTTATAAATCTATCAACTACATGTAGATCCCAGGCTGAGTTATCCACTATCCGCCTCATTTGAACCCTATAAGCAGGAGGTGACGAGCACGGAAAACCACGGATGTGCCTTGGAATCTTTGACTTCCCCTAAGTGCAGGTATAAGCATGAATGGGATTAAATAGATCAGCTGTGTAATAGAAAGGGTAGATGGCCACTGGATCGATGGGATATACTTGCACTTAAAGGATTAGTGAGTTTTGACTTTGAAAATAAGAAAAAATTGTATATATTGAATCAATTTCCTTGTTATTCTCTGATAATTGACTGATATAACTCTCTCTATCTCTCATTTTTTATATTTTTATACCAACTACTAGAGCTAAAATTATACTATAAACTAAGTAAAGCTAAGTAAGTATTCACTAAATACTTAGCCTGCCTCTACACAGTTCTCCCTTTCAACATCTCTTCTCACTACAAATTATTACAACTTCAACTACAACAATTACATACAATAATTGTATTTCACCTCACAATAATTAATACAATTTCCAATACAGTACCAATATATCCACAAAACTTACCCACCCAAAATCAATCATAAATCAATCTCATCATGGCTCCCCACGCAGATTCCGCCTCTTCTACCACGAATGGTATTGCCGGTAGCACACTCAAAGCCACCGCCACCACCTTCTCCCCAGTCACCACCATTCCAGAATCCAAGTATCACTCAACATCATCCGAATCTGCCATTCACGATGAACACGAATACGCCGCACACAACTACCATCCTCTGCCCATAGTATTCGCACGAGCATCCGGATCCAGCGTTTGGGATCCAGAAGGAAATCATTACATTGATTTTCTATCCGCTTACTCGGCCGTCAATCAAGGACATTGTCATCCAGAACTAGTCGCAGCTCTTTGCGCACAAGCACAGCGTCTTACTCTCTCCAGCAGAGCATTCCATAATGATGTCTTTCCAAAATGGGCTGAGAAGATCAAGCAAGTCTTTGGATATGAGATGGTTTTACCGATGAATACTGGAGCGGAGGCGGTTGAGACTGCTATTAAGATTGCTAGAAAGTGGGCATATAAAGTTAAGGGTGTTGAACAAGATAAGGCTTTGATCTTTGCTGCTGCGGAGAACTTTCACGGAAGAACTGTATGTTACCCCTCTTTCATTTATCGCTCCTTACCATCATGTCCTTCACAGAAAGGTCAGAATCACTCTGTACTCTATCTATTCTGCCTCCACGGCAGTGGCCCCCGGAGGGCCAGCGGAGCGTCATTTTGATCGATTGATCCTTATTCACGGGGGCAAGCCCCCAAACCCCCATAGCTCCGCTCGATTTTTATCATCAATTTATCCCGCATTAGTTATGATATGGTATAAATTGTACAAAACTAACAATACCCTTTCAAAATAGATGACCGCAATCTCCATGTCCGTCGATCCTGAATCCCGCGATAATTATGGTCCATACGTTCCAGGTGTAGGTGCTGCATGCCCAATCACAAAGAGACCAATCAGATTCAACAATGTTTCCGATCTTGAAGTTGTCCTCGAAGCCCATGGAAAGAATACCGCTGCCTTCATCGTCGAGCCTATTCAAGGTGAAGCTGGTGTTGTCGTCCCAGATGATGATTACCTCTCAAAGGTTCATGCTCTCTGCAAGAAACATAATGTTCTCCTCATCTGTGATGAAATCCAAACTGGTATTGGTAGAACTGGACGTATGCTTTGCTCAGAATGGTCTGGTATTAAGCCTGATATGGTTACACTTGGAAAGGCCATTTCCGGTGGAATGTACCCAGTCTCTTGCGTTCTCGGTTCCAAGGAAATTATGCTTACCGTCGAACCTGGAACTCATGGTTCTACTTATGGAGGTAACCCATTGGGTTGTGCAGTTTCCATTCGTGCTTTGGAAATCATGGAAGAAGAGAAGTTGACTGAGAGAGCCGAGAAATTGGGTAATGTTTTGAGAAAGGGATTAGAGGATTTGAAGAGTCCTATGATTAAGTTGGTTAGAGGAAAGGGATTGTTGAATGCTATTGTCATTGATGAGACAAAGACTGGTGGTCACAGTGCTTGGGATTTGTGTATGTTGTTGAAGAGTAAGGGATTACTTGTAAGTTTTTATCTTTTCTTCGCCTCGACACCTCCATAACACGCACCCCATTTTTCGAGAATACGTCTAACAATTTCAGGCCAAACCAACTCACGAGAACATCATCCGTCTTGCCCCACCACTTGTCATTAGTGAGGAGGATATTCAAAAGGCCCTCTCCATTATTGAGGAAGCCATCATTGAACTACCAAACCTCAAGGGCGAGGAGGAAGATAAAGTCATCCCAGCAGGCGAGAAGAATGTTCATATCCCATTGGAAAACTAAGGGATTCAACTTCATCCAGTATACGAATTATCATTAAAGATTTCCTTTCATTTCATTTCCCTGGGAGATTTTAAAAAGAATTTGGGTATCTACTGTTTTTATTTTTCTCGTTTTTTCAAGATGTTTAGGATCTAAATTGGCATCGGCATCGGCGAAAGGGGGATGGAAAATGATAAACATGACGTTTTGCTAGACGATAAGTCGCAATTATACCTGGTTGGCTGGGAGGGAGGAAGGGAGTTTTTTTTTTGGGTGGTATCTACTGTTTTGGGGGACTCACTTTTGATGACGATGGGCCTGGGTTCTTGATAGGGCATCGATGAAAAGGGATGGACGGAACATGACGTTTTGCTTGACGTACTAGGTATTAGGTATTTATTTTATCTAGGGTATGTCACAATTGTACTTGAGATGAGATGAGATGAATAGATTGTTGGGAGGGAGGGAGGTTTAGTTTAGGTTTTGGTTTTTGGTTTGGTTTTGGGGACTTTGTACTCGAGTAATTGGATAGGATGCATTATCTAGGCTAGTTTAAATACACTACTTTATGATACGATGTATGAATAAATGATGAATTGATGTGATGTTTTCCACTGATGTGATGTGTTGTGTTTGTTACTTGACTTGTTTGTTTTCTTTTTAGGGATTAAGGATGGGGATGGGGATTAGGATAGGAACGGAATTGGGGATAAGGGGTGGAAATGGAAATATGTGTGTCAATAAGAGCTTGGGAAAGGGAAGGAGAAGAAGGAGAGGAGAGGTAATTAGGGAATGGGTATATATATAGTCAGTATTTCTATTTCTATTTTTAGTTTATGTTTCTATTTCTATTTCTATTTCTAGCTTATATAGTATTGGAGTATTGAGTTACATAGGGTGAGTATTTTAATAACTTGAAGGTAAGTGAGTGAGGAATTAGGAATTGGGAATTAGAAATTAGTTAGGTCACAGTGTAAATATTGTATACTTGAGTAGTTTAGTATAGTAAATACTAACGAATTTTGTATTTTATTTTATATATTTGTGAAACTGAAAACTTTGGATTCGATGTTTGGGTAAGATAGATAGGTTGGGTTGGGTAGGATAGGTGAGGAGGATGAGGATGAGGATGAGGATGGGGGGGTGTAAAGGAAAAGACCATCAACACTAACCATTTTGCAAGACTTCTACTATACATACTCGGGTAAAGAAGAGGGTTTAGTATAGTATAGTTAGCCACTGACTGGCATTTGTATATGTATGTGTATGTGTATGTGTATGTGTATGTGTATGTGTATGTGTATGTGTATGTGTATGTGTATGTGTATGTGTATGTGTATGTGTATGTGTATATGTATAGTATTGTTTATTATGATTGTGAAGAAATAAGATGAAAGCTATAGTACTGAGTACTGAGTACTATAGTCGTATAGATAGATTCGGACTCGGAGATAGATTCGGAGATGGATCTTTTGTGATGGGTGATGAGTGATGAGGGATGAGGGATGGAGGGGTGGAGGGGTGGAGGGGTGGAGGGGTGAGGGGATGGGTGATTTGGGTTATGGAGAGAGATTAGATGTTTTGGGAAGGAAGAGGAGAGGAAGGAGAGGAAGGAGAGGAGAGGAAGGAGAGGAGAGGAAGGAGAGGAAGGAGAGGAGAGGAGAGGAGAGGAGAGGAGAGAAAGGAGTATAAATAGATAAATGGAGAATTTGGGGTGGGTATATATGATTGAGGTTTTTGATTTGATGGGTATAGTACGGGTATGGTATACGAGTTATATCTTCTACTCGTATTGTGATTGCGGTATCGCTACTCAGTCATGGTATTGTGATAATCAAAAGATCAGGAGATCAGGAGATGGAGAGATGGAGAGTCGGATGGATAATGAAGTGGAGTGAAGGATAGTGAAGTAGAGTGGAGTAGAGTAACTATCTAACCTAGTAAGATATAGATATAGATAGATAAATAGAAATGAGGTAAGTGTTGTAAATAAGTATACTCGAGTAGATAACAGTAAGATAAATAAGTTATATGAGATAAAGATACGAGAATAAGAGATAAGTTGAATTGAATTGTAGAAAGAAAGAAGGTGCCAGTAAGAGATAGGTGCTAATAAGGTGTGAGTATATATATTTATATAAGTAGGAACTTGAACAAGTAAGATTAGAAAAAAGATAGAGTAAGCCTTGAAGTGAAGTGAAGTGAAAATAGAGAGTGAAGCCTAAATAGCGGTATTTAATTAAGGATTCTGGCTCGAAATAATTATTAATTATTAATTATTATATACAATATACAAGTTTAAGATAATAAATATATAATCGAGTAGATAGATAATTTTCCCAATTATCTTATTATATTATATTAAATACTCTCTGCCATCCTATTCATTATATCCCTAACGCATCCCATCCCATCGCTATCCTCTCTATTCTCTAAATCCCAAACCTTTTTTCCTTATTTACTTATTTCCTTATCTATTATAATTATTACTTTAATCCACTTCCTTCCTTACTTTTTAACCCTTCCTAACCCTTCCTTACCCACTTACTTCCTAATCCACTTCACTTCACTTCATTTCACAATCTATCTATCTACTACATAACCACAACCACAACCCACAACCACAACCTTCGAGGTTTTTTTCTTGCTACTCGAGTACATCTACTAATCGACAACTGAGCTGATTTGATCTGAACTGAACTGAGCTGAACTTGATTATATAATATAACTTGATGATATAATGATATGATATAATATCAACTACCATAATATCAACTACCATAACATCAACTACCATAACATCAACTACCCTACCATAACATCAACTCACTGGCAAATGCAATATACCTACACCTACCTACCTACCTACCTACCTACCTACCTACCTACCTACCTACCTAATAAGTAAATAAGTAGTCGATGGATGCATTTAATATTTTCATCACCTCACATCCCACTCAATCCCATCCATCTCATCCCATTCCATCTCTGTGCTTCCATCCCATCCCAACCCATCCTCCTAAATACAACCAACCAAAACCAACCACAACCAACTACAACCACAACTTAAAAGTCCTGTCCTGAAAAACACTTCATTTCACTTAACTTCACTTCCTAACTTCGCAAACCCAAATCTAAATCCGCAAACCCAAACACCTAACCCAACCCAAACCACCCCAACCCAAATCCCCTTAAT